CCTCTTTTCTATTTCTGCATTGGTAAATGGTGCCACAAGTTCATCGCACTAAAAATTGAGACACAAGTATTTGTAGAATATAATCGTGAAGAAATCATTCGGATATAATCTATATAATATGGCGTTATATATAATATGACATTCTAGGAAAATATATGAAGTTTATCAATTAGAATTTTGAAATTTTGTAAAGCATCACTAAATATATGGCGGAAGCATCAGACCATATGTAGCAGCAATATTCTAAGCATAGACGAATGGTATTTTATATATAAAGTACAATGTATGTGTGTTTGTGCGTGTCCAAGCAACTCCTCCACACCCACTGGCCCGATTTCAATGATTCATAGCTCATTCAAAAGCCCTAGAAAAGTTAGACACAGGGAACGATTTTCGTTGAGCTCAGATTCAGGGTGTTGAGGTTAAAATATATATATATTAATATATTATACTAGCCATTATCGTTACTTTTATGGTTCAAGGGGAGTAGCACTTATTTTCCTTTTGTATCCAAAATAGCAGCTAGCTTAAAATGTTAAGCTAGGTAAAATTTTTAAAAACTTAAACCGATAGGGTACCTTTTAAGCTAGCTCCTGTGGAGGACACTTGGTTTCGCCATCATCACAATTGCAAGGAAGGAGTAGATGCGATAGGCATCAATAAACTACAGAAGAACTCAAAATTGATCGCTGAATTTAAGTATTGAATTTATGTTTAAGATTACTTTTTAAAAGTTCAACAATAATCCTTCAGCTGCCACTTCATTTAAAGGCGATTTGATGTACGTAGGTCCTTATTTCCCGTAAAACAATTATTTTTATGTCATGGGTGACAGAAGAGGGAACAGATACAATTAATATAGCGAAATAGGAAATAAAATAGAAATTAGAATGAATTTTACATTCAACATTTGAAGAGTTAGAGAAACATAATAGTTAATTAAGTAAAACCTATATTATGGAATATATATGAATAAATACAAATTTGGAGTTCAATTCTCCCACGAAGTTTTAGATTAAAAAAAAACTCCTATCTCTACTTTATATTAATTTACACGGTGTTTACTCATTCCCCACACGAGAATGAGATGTGACACCTGGGCACCTCTTCAGTATAATTTTTCTCAGTTGCTCCTCTGTCCTTTGACAGAGAAGCCCCCCAGTGCAATATGTCCAAGGACAGAGACGCAACTGAGAGATGATCAGTAATGTGCAATATAACAGTGCTGTGAAGTATATATAAATAAATATACATTTTTCCATCACCGGTAACATAACTCGGACTTTCATGCACAACCCAATTTTCAGATGCTGAGTTATGTAACAGGCAATCATAACATAGGACCTTAAGATTGCGTTGCGCATGAAGCTCCGAATCGTGCAAGAGGCGAGGAAAATGTACATTTATTTAAATATATATACACACACACACACACACACACACACACACACACACACACACACATATATATATATATATATATATATATGTGTGTGTGTGTGTGTGTGTGCATCAAATATATGGATATAGATCCGACAGTATGAAAAAATATACGGAAAAAACAAAAAATCCTTATATGCAATTATGCTGTTTTAATAAGTCTTGTTCTTATGTACATCGTCTTTGTCGAATTGATAATGTTAATTATATTTTATGAATATGTCCTGAAGATGGTTTATTAGACCGAAACGTCCGACGTTGACATATTAACATTAAAACAGCATAATTGCATAAAAGGATTTTTGTTTGTTTTTTCCGTATATATTTTTCTTCATATATATATATATATATATATATATATATATATATATGTGTGTGTGTGTGTGTGTGTGTGTGGCACCATTTATCAAGGCAGAAAAAGAAAAAAAAGGAAAAAGAGAGCTAAGACCCAAAGCGTGGATGATAAGCAGAACACCACGGCTAAGAGACAATGGATAAAGGATATTTTGATAAGTAACAAATGGCGAAAGAGTGTCATTACAATGACAGGGAAATTCTGAGTGGATAAAGGAATCAGGTGTGTTTTTAAGGATGGCTGTGTTATCTGGGATACGTAAACAAACTGCTGGCCGACTGGCCAAAGAAAAATCCAAATGAAAATGTTATTTCTATAAGTGACGGAAAACAGATGGACTAAAAGGGCTTTGGATAGATATGAAAAATTAAAAGCCGCACAAGACGTGTCCACTTACCGATTTCTTTCGACGGAACATCTTTAGCCTGCGATAATAAAATTATGTTATCAGAAATGTGTACCGAAGGGAAATGAATGGGACTTAGAAATGTTCTTTTCGGGGCGACGTCTGGCCGTGTTAAATAGACCACCCATTCTGATAATTAGCGATAAGATGGCTGACGAAGCCCAGGTGTAGAACAAGAGTTATGACCACCGTCGTGCATATTGTCCTGTTTGCGGCTAGAGAAAATGATAACTGCGATTAAGAGGAAGAAAAGGAAAAGAAAAGATTATTTTTTTTTTAGTTAAGCAAGATATTCTTTTTTCCTGAAACAAAGCCGCGGATTCGTCCACGCCCGACTAAGACATCATTGGTCGAGTGGTGATCACGTGACGCACAAAGGAGGCCGTCGCCGCCCATCCAGGGGATAGGTATGAGAAGCTACTACGAAGAAGTGGGGAGGGCAGTCCACGCCCCCCTGAAGCATGGTCAGAAGGTGGGAGTAAGAAAAGCCGCCCAAAAATGGAAAAGAGTGGAAAATTCCTAACCAGAAATAAAAGAGGTGGATATGTATTTAGAATTATCGAGGAACCCCCGACGCCGACAAACCCACCCCGGTTTTGGTCGGCGTCCATTTAAGCGAAGCCGCAGCGAGCAGTTTCAGTTTGAGTTCCATTTGCAGTTCGAAGCTCGCAGTGGAAGTTGGTTCGGCCTCGGAGATAACTGACTTGAAAGATTCACGCAAATTCCGGACTCCTCTTCAATCCAAGAACAATTATTTTGAAGAGCGACTTAGATCCAGACCACCAAAATAAGTTTTTTTTTTCGACTTTCGTCCAAAGACACACCAAAAAACCAATTTCTTAAAGATCAAACAACTTGAAGTGATAAAACTCGCCTAACGGAAAACAACGTGTCACAATCCATAGAACGGGTCGGGAGATAGACGCAGTCCTATGTATCGAATAACTAGACATAAAGTTTGTTATCTTTTTCTTTGATACCTTGAACTTTTGAGTTTTCATTTTATTTTCTTTTATGCATATTTGTGTGGTGTCATCCCTGTTGAACCCGATTTGCATTACATTAACTACTGATTGATCTCGTCTGCCTAAGATCAATTCACAACGTGGGTAGGCAGACTGGAGATCAATGCAGTTACTTTGGTAACCAGGCGTTGGAAGCGAGTTGGGAACGACGAGGCTGATATCAAATCAAACCAGATTCCCACCCGAATCACCAAAAGGTTAGAACGTCACATTTGGGTGCCGCGACCGATACCAAGCCGACACAGGACGAGACGTCACAGGACGAGACAACACGACTGACGCGACAGGCGGACGTCACGTTTGGAGCGGCGACACCCGAACGGAGCAGCGAGGAGCGAACAGCTGGCGCCGCGGCGAGGACGTCACAGTTGGTGCCGTGGTAGACCAGGATAGGACGTCACAGTTGGCGCTGCGACTAGGGGACGACGTCACAAACTCGATAAGGTCAAATTGACGGCTGATGTCAGAGACGAATATCATTCTGTTCTTAACTGGCCCAAATAATTTTTTTTTTAATTTTAACGACTACAACACTAAACTATTCTTTATTAATCCTTTCAGAGACATATTTGTGCCTTTCATCAACATGGCTGATGCTAACTTCCGGGTGAGTCACTCATGGCGCTTTCCCGGGCTAACTTTTTCAGCTGACATGAAGAGGAAAGTCTATATTGAATCCATTGTTAGAAAAGTAAGAAAGCTGGTTCACTGTGTCGGGCTAGACAATATTTCTCGCCAAAAACTCTTACATATTTATGTCCAGCATTCGACGATGCTTTCAATATTACTGCAACATATAATCTGGTGCTCCTACCATATATCTAGAGATCCTTGATAAAATCTGAAGAAGCATCAGCAATATTATTCGTCCTAATCTGGCATCTCGGATTTAGTCAGTTTCTCAACGAATGCCACGTTGCTTCCCTGCATCTTCTTTTTTAAAAATGCTGTTCGGCAACTGTACGAGTGAGCTCTTCGACATGTTACCATGACTTTCTGAATTTAAGCGCAGTATTAGAGTTGCAACGAGCTCTCACCAATATAATGTTGGGTTGGTTAGATATAACCGTATATTCTATGCTAAGAATTTATTTTCTAGCACTTATCTCTTGTGGAATTCACCTCCATGCATTCCAGACAACATTAATTTTCAAAAATTTAAAGGCAGTGTCAATCGCTCTCTTCTGTCCTGCTGATTAGTCTTTGTAGTTTTTAACATTTTTATAGACATGTATCTTGGCTTGGGAAAATAAGAATTAGTTCGGGAAAGGAGATATTTGAAAAAAAAATCCGAGGCGCATATTTATATTTTGATAAGATTCTACAGCGCCCCAACTCGAGAATTTTCCGTCTGAATAAGTTACTTTCTCATTTAATAATCGTTTTACACTAAAGTCCTGGTTGAATATATTTCTATGTATAACTAATAGATAGATAGATAGATAGATAGATAAACATTTTTCGAGAGATACATAAACAATCTGAGATATATAGATAGATAGACAAACAGACAGACAGATAAACTGTCAGCGATAGAGATAGATAGATAGATAGATAGATAGATAGATAGATAAACAATCTGAGATAGATAGATAGATAGATAGATAGATAGATAGATAGATAGATAGATAGATAATTTTGTGGCCTTGTTGAGGCTAGAATAAAGACACGGGTGTGGATTTGAGTTAACAAATATATTGTCGAAAATTGGTTACTTTCTCATTTAATAAGGTTTTTACACTAAAGTCGTGGTTGAATATATTTCTGTGTATAGCTAATAGATAGATAGATAGATAGATAGATAAAAATTCAGCGAGAGATAGATAGATAGATAAACATTCTGCGAGAGATACATAAACAGTCTGAGATAGATAGATAGATAGATAGATAGATAGATAGATAGATAGATAGATAAACAGTCTGCGATAGATAGATAGATAGATAGATAGATAGATAGATAGATAGATAGGTAGGTAGATAAAGAGTCTGCGATAGATAAATAAATAGAAACAGCCTCAGATAGATAGATAGATAGATAGATAGATAGATAGATAGATAATGTTGTGGCCTTGTTGAGGCCAGAATAAAGACACAAGAATGGATTTGAGTTAACAAATATATTAACGAAAATTGGTAATACAATAAAATACAAACGAGCAAGAATGTTAAGTACGAACTGTGAGAACTGGTTGGAAAAAACTCTCTACTGACAAAAAGCAGTACCTGCTTTTATTTGTAACTTGGAAGAGTCCATCAGTGTATGGGTAATTTACCATAACAGTTAGATAGATAGATAGATAAATAGATAGATAGATAGATCGGAACATGAAAAGCGATCCATGAAAATGACTCCAACATCTTAAACACAGAAAGTGATTACAAAAATCTTAACACTTCTATTGCAACAGCCGTATAAGAAAAGCCGAACTGATATGATTTCAAACAGTCTCCACCTGTTCATCATTCTTCCTGAAAACAACAAATTTGCCATTTACCACAGGTGTTTCCAAAGAATTCATCACACTTGTATGTGTGTATATCTATTAGAAAATTTACTCTCATAGAAGCGTTATTTTTTTGGTGGGGATTATCATGTGGAATGTACCGTATATTTTGGCGGATAATACGAGAAAATTTGAAGGAAATTTAATGGCAAAAAGTGGAGGTTCGTATTATAGAAAAGGAAAGGTTTCCAGACATTTTTCAAAAGCTTTAAGAAACTCTTCTTTCACCAGAAAGATTGCAAATAGACTCAATTAGCAGAGTAGATAATTTAAGACAAAGTATTCAGGTGTTGATGACATTTGTTGACAAAACGTATGTTGATATGTCGGCCATATTTAATATTTGGTAACCAGCGTAGCTGGTCGCCATTTGTCTCAAAGTCATTCGCCGAAATTAATTTTAAAAAAATGAATAAAGTAATATACAAGATCTGTCATGTTTTGGTAACATCGATGTTACAACAAAGCACCTTTACTCGAAAATTTGAAAATAAATTTCGAAACAGAAATTAAGATAGATTGATAGATATATAGATAGAAAGAAAATAAACAGTCTGAGATAAAATATATATATATATATATATATATATATATATATATATATATATATATATAGAGAGAGAGAGAGAGAAAGAGAGAGAGAGAGAGAGATATGAAGAAAGAGAGATAAACAGAAAAATAGTCTGGGATAGATAGATAGATAGATAGATAGTACCTTTCCCCGAAAATTCGAAAATAAATTTCGAAACAGAAATTAAGAGAGAGAGAGAGAGAGAAAGAGAGAGAGAGAGAAGAATAAATTGCCTGTGATAGATAGATAGATAAAGAGACAGAGGGGGGAGAATAAGATAGATAGATAGATAGATAGATAGATAGATAGATAGATAGATAGATAGATAGATAAAGAGGCTGAGATAGATAGATAGATAGATAGATAGATAGATAGATAGATAGATAGATAGATAGATGGGGGGATAGAGAAAAAATAGAAAATAAAGAGTCTGGGATAGATAGAAAATAAACAGTATGGGACAGATAGATAGGTAAACATTCTGAGATAGATAGATAGATAGATAGATAGATAGATAGATAGATAGATAGATAGATAGATAGATATCACCTTTTCCCCGAAAATTCGAAAATAAATTTCGAAACTGAAACTAGGGGAAGAACTACGCAATGACAACAAAAACCTTAATTTTGTATAAATTATGTACTTTAGTTTTTTTCCCCCCTCTTGAAAAATGTGTCGATTATTTAATCGACCTCGCCACTAAGAAAACGTCGTATTTAATGTGGGGCCTCCATTCAAGGGACGAGGAAAAATTTGCCGAGTGCCCACAAAAGGAGTCAGACTGAAATCAATATGACGCCGGTTCAATCTCTCTTATGGTAATGAGGAAGGTGCTGCCGCAGTTTGGGATCCACGGGAACAAGTGCCTTCCCTTTTACATCTGTCATATAAGTCGGCGCTTTGGCGTGTGGTGATGACAATCTTGTTGACTCAAACTATTGAGTCAAAGTTTAGTAAATAATAACTTGTTTATTCGATTCTGTCCTCTTGCTTTCTATGCCTAACGCGTGTTATGTTCTCCGAGGCTTTTCCTCATTCCTTTATATTTTAAATACCTCTTTCAGGATCTTAGCAGTAGTTCCTGTGTTGATCCTATTCTCCTTAGATTAAAATAACTGGGAATTATTTTAATAGGGAAGGGAAAACCGAAATCCGTAGTTGCATTGGAATAACAAAAAATGCCTTGCAGAAGCTAAGTAAGGTACTAAGAAACAGGATAATTCCATTAGAAACAAAGAATGCTCAACTGTTATGTAAATGCCGGTCCACCTATTTGGACGTGACTGACGAAGAAAAGACATGAAGTAACATAGTACGAGAAAATGGTTCTAAGAATTCCAGGAAAACCGGAAAATTTCATTTGAACGAAAGATACGTCTATGTTATATATGTTCTTATTACTGTAGTTAGCTTTTAAAATCAGTGGCGTAGATAGAGTTTGGGCCGCTCGGGAGTTCCCATGAGTTGACCGCCCCTTACTCTACTCCTGCCCTCCAAAAATACAACATATTGCACAGTATCTCTTTCTCTCTCTCTCTTTCTCAGACACACATACACACACACACACACACACACGCACACACACACACACACACACGCGCACACACACACACACACACACACACACATATATATATATATATATATATATATATATATATATATATATATATATATATAAAGGCAGGATGTTTATGTGTGTGTAACGAATGCACGACCGCAATTTTCGACAGATTTGCACCCAAATTTACATGCACATGCTCCAAGTTAGCGGGAAGGCTAAGACCGACTTTGCATTTCCCAACTCCTATCGATAGTGGAAATAATCGATTTTTTTATGCTTCTACGGCAGTTTTCACGTAGTTTGCGGCCATTTTCTACTGGCCAGAGTGAGAGCCTACAGCTGGCTGCCACGAATAGTCAGGAAGATTCTATTGGCCAGCGTGAGAGCCAACAGCTGACTGACACGAATGTTAACTAGCATGCTAGCATGCAAAAAAAAATCGATAGCTGCATTCGTCACAAGTGGGAAAAAATAAATCTGCATGGCACTTTACTACAATTGGCTCATTCACTTGCTTAAACTCAACGTTGATTCTGATTCCGCAGAACTGGGTTGGGTGTGAAAAAGTATTTGTTGTGAACATTCTTTTTTCATTCGGTTTTTCCAGTTACGAGTCCTTTTTTAAATCTGATCGTTTTGTGTTCATTTTGTTTAGTTCTTTTTTCGTAACAGATTTAATGTTTAGCATAGAGCTTAGAAAAAATTCACAGTGTGAGATAGGCAAGAAGTAAAGCATGTAGCAACATCAGCACGGCAAAGGGCACTCGTTTAAATGCAAGGAAGGGCAAAAATATTTTAAATCAAGTGATAGCGATTGCTGTATGAGTCGTACGAATTTTGACTCAAGCACGGTCAAGCATATATATATATATATATATATATATATATATATATATATATATATATATATATACGAGTCTAAAAAGACTCATAAACACAAATGTATCTCCCACTGACCTAATAAAAAGTGAAGTTGGTTGTATACTATACTAAATTTAATACAGCCAATCTAGTTGCCAAAAAAATTCTTCGCTATGAACTAGCATCTTACTAAAGAGCAAGATTAATATATCAATTCAGATGTCCTTTAGGAGATTGCACCTCTTATAAAAATGTTATTACGTATGTTTTACAACGACGATGCTGACGAGAAGGATTATATTTCTCTTGGATAAGCATAATTCAATCTTACAACATTTAAAGGAACACTTAAGTCCGCATTTACAGTTTACACACAAATTAGTTAAAAAAAGTATCTATATTTCACAAAAATAATAATAATAAGCAAAAATTAAAAATCCTAAATGCCCTTTTTATAAGAGAATTAAAGTAAAAAATAAAGTCAAGCGTTAGTGTATAGCAATAAACTTCTTAAATGTTACTAGCCCTAAAGTTATATATATAAAGACATTTTCATATTTATACATTCTTTTTATAGATGCAAATATTTAAGTAAATGGTCTGTTTGATAATAAACAGTATTAAACAACATTTACCAGCCTGAATGTCCGAGAAAGTTTCATAGAAAATATTCGTCCTCCGACAGGAATCGAACCTGTATCCTATAGGGAACCGTCATATAGCCTGACGTGTCTTAACCAATCGAGCAACGGAGGATCGTTCGATTAGCTACGTCGATTTTACTGCTTTTAAACTTCAATCTTCCATGAATCTCTCACGTACATTCATATCTGCTCAAAGCGTATCCAAATGTAAACAAATGACGTCACACATTATGAAATGGACAAAGTCCGACAAATTATGTTTTATGTTTATATTGTGATTTTGTTTGATATTTTAATAGAATATATATATATATATATATATATATATATATATATATATATATATATATATATATATATATATATATATATATATATATATATATATATATATATATATATATATATATATATATATATATATATATATAAGGAGGCACTGTGGAGTAATGGATAGGGCATGGATTGATGAATCGGAGAGCTGAGTTCGAATTCCATTACATTCACTTACATGCTAATATCCTTCTTCTTCCTCCTGGGTTCTATAGCCTTGGTTGGTAAGTGATCTAGAAGAAGGACAACTCTGAATTCAAAACCTGCGGAGGGTCGTTTAGGGACCTTGTGCACCAGGTCTCTGTATTCGGCCCTTGAAAAACTGTGGATGGTCCTGCACGAAACCTTCACCACCATCAAATCTCATATGCTGTTGTCGGGCTGCCAGTTTCCTGGGGACTGATCTCCTTGACCCTCATACGTCAAATTCGACGGGAGAGTCGCCTATATATATATATATATATATATATATATATATATATATATATACATATGACCATGGAATATTAGTGTTTAAGCCTTTTTATTATATCCTTACTCTGTCCTGGACATTGAGTTCTACCTGGATTCTCTCCTCTTGGAATGTTTTATTCAAAAAATATACATGTACGTGTATGCACCTATGTATATATATTTATATATTTTGCATATGTATGTGTATATTTACTATTAATATTAGCTATATATATATATATATATATATATATATATATATATATATATATATATATATATATATTAACAGGTCAAAAGACGAAAATACAGCAGCACAGCCATACCAACTGCTGTCAAGGAAAATAACTGAAATTTATGTGATAACAACAATGATGTGTTGCCCGCACCCAGCGGTGATACAGCATTAAAAGAACGCAACTTGGGTTTGTTCATTGTTTTCAACAATCATAAAACAGGGCTGAGTACATTACTGGATAATGTTTATTGTTAGGCCAAGATAACAATCGCTTTTAATATATGTGCCATAGTTAAAGTTACCCGTAATTGAAAAGGTCCTTCAACTGTAATTATTGTTCCGGCATCAAAACTACTTTTATTTCAATACTGTAGATACAGGCTTATACTAGGGCCCCAAAGTGTCGCCCAGAGTTGACCCCACCCATCACCGCAAGCTACAGTACTGTTTAGAGGGTATATTTTACTGTTCCTTGAACGCTCTAATGATTCTACCGGTCAGAAAGTAATAGTTGAAATATTTTATGTGGCAGGGAATGCTGGACAATTTCCTCAGAGATGAAGACAAATTTTAAGGGATGCTGAGCGGCGCAAAGATGCAACGATGAAGTTCCTGGGACACATAATGAGAAAAGAGGGCTTGGAGAATTTGATACACACGACATAGATAAAACAAAAGGGACAGCGAAAAAAAGCAGGTAAAATAAATAACGCGTGGCAGAACATTCATTATGTAAGATGGGAAGTCAATAAATATTGCTTAAAATGTTTAAGAAGTCGCGAAGAGCCGTGTCCATACGCACTAAAAAAACAAAACAAAAAAAAGGTCTATAAAAGAAGTGTTATTTAAATATATTTTTGATGAGCAACGTCAAGCCTGTTTAGAACCTAGACGGGTAACCGCTTGAGAATATCAGGTGCTGTAAGATTGGATGTTCGATTTGTGCAATGCTTAAAGGCTCGGAATTGCAAATCAAACAACCAAGTTCTTCAGTTCGTTAGATTCACTTACGCTCAAAGAACAATAGGAAAGAAATTTATTCACATCTCCTATCCCCCGATATGGTTTAATTATTTAGACTTTTATCAGTAAAGCATTATTATATTTTTACAATCTAGGAATATTTTTCGGCTTTAAATAACAAGTTAAAGGTTGATAAGTCATAAAAATTGATCAATCAATAAAAAAGAGAAAAAATATATTAAGTTAGATGCAGGGAGACGATAACTAATTTATGATTGATCTCGCCAGCGATTTGATCTCCGAAAGTAATGTTCTTTGCGTTAGTTTCGGAGGATATATGTTTTGGTTTTGTGAAAAGTATACCCTTTTCGAATACCCGAAATCTTGGCAGACTAAAAAGAGAGACAGAGATAGTAAATGAGAGAGAATTTGAAAGTGATAGATAGAGAGAGAGAAAAAAAGATAGGAAATATATATTTACAATTTTACGATGAAGCTCAGATTTAAATAAAATGGCAATCTTATCTATAGATTATAACAGTCAAAGACTGATGCAGACAGTCGATACTGTAGTAAAAAAAAATTACAGCTTACTGTACACAAATGTTTTTTTTTTATTTTATTTTATATTAACACTAGACAGACCGCAGTTGCTGATAGCAGGATTATTAAATTTCCAATCTAAATTGTTTCTTTTCTTTCTTTTTTTTTTGTTCTTGTTTATATATATATATATATATATATATATATATATATATATATATATATATATATATATATATATATATATATATCATATCATATCATTCCAAGGAAGGCAATACAAGCCTCTATAACACTAGGGGTTACAGAGAGAATAATAAAAAAAAAAAAAAACAGGTGACGATTGCTATTGCATTTAAATAGATAAAGATCGTTCCTGACAGGAAGGAGGAAGAGAGTGTGTAGCGTGAGAGAAATTATCGCAATATCTAATAATTCCAAAAGTGAAATTATGAGAGGGTGGACTGAAAACGTCATAGGATGACAATGAACAAATTATCCTAGATCTGTGAAAGCCTACAAGTATTTGTACATACGATCCATTGCTAAGAATTCAGGTAAAATCGTCGGCCTCCTATACAACTCCAGTAAGGACCTGTTAGTTTAGCCATTTCAATATATCAATAATTCATCATCAATATATCTATATAGCAACAGTTCATCTTCAATATATCAATAGAGCATCATCAATATATCTTTATAGCAATTGGGCAGTTTTTTATATAATTATCTACCGCAAAGAAAAAAAATATTAGATCACATGAGAAATTGTATAAAAAATATTAATCAAAGCACCTTGTCTGTCGTATTCAATGAAATGTGCACAAAAGAAGGATTGCTGCTTAAATACACAAATATATATAGATAGATAGATAGATAGATAGATAGATAGATAGATAGATAGATAGATAGATAGAAATTATTAGGAGGATTTGATAATTATATTTAATTAATTCGTCGTGTGATAGAAACCTCAACAGAATGCAGGAAGCACTGGGCGACTACTCTTACCAAGCCGCTCACTCTAGAGCATTAGAAGCCGGTTCAAGCAATGATATGCACAGGTAGAAATTATTAGGAGGATTCGATAATTATATTTACTGAGTTCTCTGTAACCATAGGACTGTGCTCAGTAGAGTTCCACCACGGAATAATGAGCGAGTGGCGCTATATTAAGACAGATTTGCAATCTCTTCGTCACCAAGCCCATTTGGAACAGTTGGTATGATGTTGGCTTAACAACCTATCAGTCAGGGTTTCAATTCTCGGTAGTGGATGCGCACTGCTGATGAGTCCCAAATATAGGACGAAAAGGCCGTCCAGTGCTTTCTGCATTCTGTTGAGATTTCTATCAGACTCCATGAATTACTTTAATATAATTATCAAATCCTCCTTATAATTTCTATCTGTGTATATCATTGCTTGAACCGGCTTCTAATTCTCTAGAGTGAGCGGCTTGGTGAGAGTAGTCGTGGCTCCAGCGGGCACAGTCCTATGGTTACAGAGAACAATAATAAAATAAAAATGGTTTCAGAAAATTGCATTTAAATAGATAAAGATCGTTCCTGACAGGAAGGAGGAAGAGAGTGTGAAGCGTGAGAGAAATTATCGCAATATCTAATAATTCCAAAAGTGAAATTATGAGAGGGTGGACTGAAAACGTCATAGGATGACAATGAACAAATTATCCTAGATCTGTGAAAGCCTGCAAGTATTTGTACATACGATCCATTGCTAAGAATTCAGGTAAAATCGTCGGCCTCCTATACAACTCCAGTAAGGACCTGATTATTCCTACTATCCTCTATCTTTAAAAGAACCCTTTCAGTCAAAAAAATGGACTAGAGTTGTCATATTTGAACGAGATCTGAGAAGACCTCAATCTTCAGCCTTGAGTTCAAATGCGTCGACGAGCACTTGTGGGTAAACGAATTATTCTCCACCCTTCAACCTCTCTGCCACAGGCGGGGTGGGGCAAGCCTTTCGCTGCTCTATAGCTAGTTCCACGGAAAGTGCTCGTACGAACTACATGTCCGGGTCACGCCAATTCAAAGCTTCACGGCAAGGACCTGCCACGCCACTTAGTATTAAACTCATTACCTACGCATTCCATCGGTGAGATGTAAGTTCAACAGCTTCTTCCAGCGTACCACTGCTCTGTGGAACCTTCTTCGTAAAAGATATTCCTCCGATCACTAAAATCTTTACCTGTTCAATGTTAGGTTTAGCCGTTATCTTCCTCTCCCATCCGCACAAATTGGCTCCTAACAACTCTCTACTCTAGTGGCTCTCGGGCCTTGTAAAGAGTGGATCTTACTTTAAAAAAATTTAATTAATTTAAACTCTTCTTATTAATAGCTGCACGGTTTATTTCCAGATAAACTGATATTTGACTTTTAAAAGAAGATTTCAAATCTAACTCGTAGCAACCTTTGCAGAAAAGGAATAAAATTTGGCAACACGATGTTATCTGTTGGAATTGCTAAGCAACTTTGATATATTTGGGAAGAATATTAAAATGTTCAAGAAATTGTACTGGTCTCAAACCTCTGGGTTATGGATAGAAAAATAGGTTCAGCAAATATACAAAAATTGAAAGGGATTTACGACAAGGATAAGGCTTCTCACCAGACTTTTCAAACTATACAGCGAGGCGATACCAAGATAATTGTTGGTGGCCACAGTCTTACCATAAGGTATGCAGATAGCGCAATGTTAATAAAAGTCACATTAAGAAAACTATATAAACTATACAGGGTGTCCATAAAGTTCGTGTGCACTTTAAAAAATATAACTTTATTTGTATTTGCGATAGAAAATAACCTGTGAAAATGTTATATTTCCTGTACCTAGTTTGAAGTATAGCTAAAATAACTAATGTGATTTCAGGCATTACTGTAAATCAGTTGGCAAATATTTTCCGTGAACTGCAAAATCGCAGATATTATAATAATTATATATTATAATAATTATATTATATATATATTATAATATGTATGTATATATATTGTATATATTATATATAGTATATATATTATATGTAATGTATATTATATATAATATACATATATATTATATAATATATATATATAATAATTATATATTATAATAATTAGATATTATATATATATATATATTATAATAATATATATATTGTATATAGTATATATTATATATAATATATATTATATATAATAGATATTATATAATATATATTATAATAGTTATATATTATAATCATTTTATATATATATATATATATATATATATATATAAATATATATATATATAAATATATATAGTCTATATTATAAAATAATATATGTTTTAAAATTATTTTAAAATATTAGTCTTTAGTGATTGGTATTACGTTTTCCATTTATGATTAATAACAGTAGTTTTTCCTTAATAATAATATCATCTAAAAGTCAGAAACTAATACAGAATTTTTAAAAAATTGAAACTTCATAAAATTTTCTTATTAATATTTTAAAAAATAAAGTATTTCTTGTTAAAGTTTGTTATTCATCGAAATTTTTTTCTTAAGACAATAGTTTCCTTAATATATGTTTTGTGATGTCAACGAACACTCGTTGTCGCTTTTATGATGCCAGCGAATACTTGTTGTCATTTTCGTAATGCTCGTTGTAGTAGAGACTTTGTAATCGCAGATACAACTATATTAACGCCGTTGAACAATACTGGTGTTAGACGCCTTCGAGTATCACTCGCACTAATCGTATTTGCTTGATAATACTCGCTCGAATTATCATCCGTATAGTGATCTGAATAGAGAAATAACGTAGTGAATAGAGTAATGAAAAGCGGTCCGTATAGAGATAGAGGATAGACTAGAAATAGTGATCCGTATAGGCATAAAGGATAGAACAGAAATGCAGAGTTATTAGACACCCGCTACCTTCCATATATGCGTTTCCTTTATGGTCACGTGATCTACTAAATTCAATAATGGGATCGCCTGTCTCTGCTCACTAGCGATCTATGTTCAAACTCAAGTGTCGGCAGTGAGACTTTCTTCCTATATAACAATATGTTTTCTATAAAAACTATTAATTTTTTTCTTCTAATTAAACAATATCATAGTTTCATGTAGGTTTTATTTTACGATTCAGAGCAGATTATCAGTAAATGGTGTTCTATTTGATAAAAAACTGATGATGTAAATTCTCCAAGGAGTCCTTATTTTAACTAATATAAATATGAAGAAGCTGGCATTTTAATTTCTCAAAAAATTAAGCAAGTGGGGGTAACAGATGTAAAAAAAATTATCAAGATTTTCTAAAAAAATAAAAAAAGACATGATTTTAAAAATAATTTGAATCATTTGTGAATATTTTTTTAAAAATTTCATTAAATGCCGAAAATTATTTGATTTTTGTAAGAATTTCCAAAACAACGTGTTTTTAACACCAAAAAAGACGCTGCATATCCTTACAGTAATATTTGACCCACCCACAGTTGACGGTAAAACAAAATTTTGAACGTGCTAAAAAGGATTAAAAAATTTTTAAAATTAAAAATCCTTTGGTCTTTCCTCTTCATAATACAGTGTAACCCGGATGTAAGAGACCCGGATATAAGAGAAACCCGGATATAAGAGAGATTTTTCTGGTCCCAAATTAGAGCCTGTGTTAATGCATATAAAATAGACCAAACCCGGATATAAGAGAAACCCGGATATAAGAGACTTCTTCTCCGGTCCGATAACTCTTTATATCCGGGTTACGCTGTATATATATATATATATATATATATAGTGTAACCCGGATATAAGAGACCCGTATATAAGAGAAACCCGGATATAAGAGAGATTTTCTCTGGTCCCAAATTAGAGCCTGTGTTAATGTATATAAATGAGACCAAGCCCGGATATAAGAGAAACCCGGATATAAGAGACTTCTTCTCCGGTCCCGACAACTCTCTTATATCCGGGTTACACTGTAACATATTTTGATGATAGAAATTTATTTTCATGAAGTCTGGAGCCTTTTATCATCAGGGTATGCATTTTTTTTCGAAAATCTTTGGCAGTATCTATATATGAGTCGCGTACGAAAATAAATATTGTATATAGCAAGTTTGAAAGGTCCGAAAGATAAATGTCATTTCTTTGGTAGTATAATTGAAAGCTGCTTTGCTGTGATGGCTGCCTGTAGCCTAATGCATTGACATACCTGGCTGTTCTGATTTAAAATTGAACACAGTTTCTTTTCATGTTCACATCTTTTTAATAAGTCGAATGCAATGTAATAAATAAAAACTGTGCTTACTATTTAAACATGCGTATATTGCATCACAAGTTTATAACAATAATAAATATATATTTGCATTATTTACATTATCCGGACAGTTATCCATATCTTCATTGCAATATTCAAAACTATTCAACCGCTTTACTCTCCAGCCTTCTTTAAATGATTAGAATTTCGATCAAACTCTTTATTTCGTCCAGCGGGGTAGATTGTTCTATTTCCACATGCCATGCCTCTTCCGGATGTCTCAGTTATTTCTTTTTAACTCAACACTCCAAGTTTTTGGTTCACCACTGCTGTGGCCTGGTATTGAACTCACAACACATTTCACTGTCTAGTCACTGGATCTAAACAACGTCTTTATTCCGTGGACCATGTGTCCTTGAGAAATGTTCTAAATACGATAATGAAGATGAGGATAACAGCCCGAATAATGTAAATAATGCAAGTAATCATAATACCTCATCAACAACCGCAGATGCTCCTATCCATATCTATCTATCTATCTATCTATCTATCTATCTATCTATCTATCTATCTATCTAGATGTTTGTCTATCCCTTTCCATATCTATCTATCTATCTAGCTAGCTAGCTAGCTATCTAGCTACCTAGCTATCACAGTCCTTTTTATATCTATCTGTCTATCTACCTATTTATCTATCTATCTATCTATCACAGTCCTTTTTCTATCTATCTATCTATCTATCTATCTATCTATCTATCTATCTATCTATCTATCACAGTTCTTTTTATATCTATCTATCTATCTATCTATCTATCTATCTATCTGTCTGTTTGTCTATCTCTTTCCATATCTATCTATCTATCTATCTATCTATCTATCTATCTATCTATCTATCTATCTATCCGACTGACTCTTTTTTAATATCTATCTATCAATCTATCTAACAGTCTCTCTTTCTCTCTCTCTCTCTCTCTCTCTCTCTCTTCTTTATCTATCTATATATTTGTTTATCTATCTATCTCAGTGTTTCCTTCTTTCTTCTTTTGCCTCATACCATTCTGCGATACTTCTAATCTGACTTTTTTGGCAATGTGGCCAAACTTTGGCGGGCCACTCATCCAACCCGTCAGACAAGAATCTTACTAATCCCACCCGCAGTTCAACCCTCCATCAAAACAGCGTGGGGCAGCCCATAATTGAGGAATGATGGTGTGGGTAGCCAGCCCTACATTAATTCAGAGCGCGAAGCTCTAGAATTTGAGGCTCTAAGAAAGAACGCGGTCTTGAATCTCTCGGTATTTTTAAGCGGCCGCCTAAAGATAGACAATGCGTTGACGAGAGGTCCGCAAACGAAAACTGAAATTAAAAAAAAAAAATACAACAACAACAAGTAAAGATTGTAAAAGAAAAAATGCTACGCTTCTTCTTATAAGAAAAATGGAGGAATGGAACACGTTCTGGCGGTGATTGCGTGTTAATGGTTTGAGAAAAGAATAAAAATGATATTATGAAAAAGATTTAGCTGAAGACGGTTAGGATGAAAGGTAAGCTAAAATGAAAGGAAGAGCACAACTTATGACTCATATATTGGGTACGTCCTAAAAAAGGGAGGACAGCAAAGATGCAACCACGTAGGAAAGGAGCAACAGGTACACGTCGAGTAATCTGAGGTGAGAGAAAGGAAGAGGGACGAAGAAGAAAAAGAAGAAGAAGAAGGAGGAGGAGGCGGAGGAGGAAGAGGAGTAGGAAGAGGAGAAATCGGGATTTGAAGCATTTGAGGGAAATGACTACAGAAACATAAACAGACGCGGCACAATGAAGAAGACGACGGCGAAATAGAAGAAGAAGAAGAAGAAGAAGGAGGAGGAGGAGGAAGAGGAGAAATCGGGATTTGAAGTAGTTGAGGGAAATGACTACAGACACATAAACAGACGCGGCACAATGAAGAAGACGACGGCGAAATAGAAGAAGAAGAAGAAGAAGAAGGAGGAGGAGGAGGAGGAGAAATCGGGATTTGAAGCACTTGAGGGAAATGACTACAGACACATAAACAGACGCGTCACAATGAAGAAGACGACGGCGAAATAGAAGAAGAAGAAGAAGAAGAAGAAGAAGAGGAGGAGGAGGAGGAGGAGAAATCGGGATTTGAAGCACTTGAGGGAAATGACTACAGACACATAAACAGACGCGTCACAATGAAGAAGACGACGGCGAAATAGAAGAAGAAGAAGAAGAAGAAGAAGAAGAAGAAGACGGAGGCGGAGGAGGAGGAGGAGAAATCGGGATTTGAAGTAGTTGAGGGAAATGACTACAGACACAGAAACAGACGCGGCACAATGAAGAAGACGACGACGAAATAGAAGAAGAAGAAGAAGAAGAAGAAGAAGAAGAAGAAGAAGGAGGAGGAGGAGGAGGAAGAAGAGGAGGAGGAAGAAGAGAAATCGGGATTTGAAGCATTTGAGGGAAATTACTGCAGACACATAAACAGGCGCGGCACAATGAAGAAGACGACGACGAAATAGAAGAAGAAGAAGAGAAGAGGAGAAGAAAATAAGAAGGAGAGAAGAAGAAGAAAAAAACGATAGAAGAAGAAAGGAATAAGAAGAAAACAAGAAGAATAGAAGAAAATAGAAGAAAACAAGAAGAAAACAGAGGAATATAGGAAAAAGAAGACGAAAATAAGAAAAAGGAGAAGAGATGGAGAAGAAGAAAGAGAAAAAGAAAAGAAGCAAAGGAGAAGAATAGAAGTAGAAGAAAAGAAGAAGAAATGACGAAGAAGAAGCAGAAAAAGAAAAGAAGAAAAGAAGGAAAAGAAGAAAAGAAGGGAAAGAATAGAAGAAGAACAAGAAGAAAAGAAGAAAAAGAAGAAAAGGAAGACGAAAATAAGAAGAAAAAGAAGAAGAAAAGATAGAGACGAAGAAGAAGCAGAAAAATAAAAGAAAAAAAGAAGGAAAAGAATAGAAGAAAAACAAGAAGAAAAAGAAGAAAAGATGAAGAAAAATAAAAAGAAGGAAAAGGTAAAGAATAAGAAAAACGAATAGTGAAACATTAAGAAGAAGAAGAAGAGGAGGAGGAGGAGAAGAAGAAGAAGAAGAAAAAGAAGAAGAAGAAGAAGAAGAAGAAGAAGAAGAAGAAGAAAATGTGACTAAATTGGCAGAGACGCCTAGAGGGAAGTAAAATAGCAAGAACAAGACCAACGAATAGGAAGCTCTGGAGTGACATAACCGCTACTGTTATTTTTTAGCGGATATTCATATTTGAGTAGATGGGATGTTTCTTTATTAAGCAGTCTTCATTCATTTTTGTCTGTCTGAATATAAAAGAAATCTTATTAAAGAAAATAATGCCATCTCCGGCATCTTTCTCCATATTTCAAAAATAAAAGCAACGTCTGCTCAAATATGAGTATCCACTAAAAATAAGAATGAATGTAATAAAATCTCTCGGATTAATAAATAAAATCCACTACTTCTTTAGAAATAGCTTTGTTTATATTTCGATACGAAACTGAGAAGATATGAACGTTTTGAGTGTCGGCGAATGATTTTATTTTATTCAACTTTGCTTGATCTTTCGTGGGACTGACTCAATCACCTCTCATCTAACGATGTGAGTCGTTTGGTGTCTGTTGGGTTTTTAATCAGCCCACTTCAATGTTTCTGTTTTTTCTTTATTAGTTCGTATACTACTTTTGCTTTTGAGATAATCGGTGATATTATGTATGATTCTGTCTTTACTTTCCTACACACACACAGATATATATATATATATATATATATATATATATATATATATGACGCCACATATTATTAAATGGACAAAGTACGACAAATTTTTTTAAGAAATATTTTTATGTTTATACGTTCTTTTTATAGATACAAATATTTAAGTAAATGCTCCGTTTATAATAAACAGTATTAAATAACATTTACCGGCCTGAATGTCCAAGAAATTTTCATAGAAAATATTCGTTCTTTGACAGGATTCGAACCTGCATCCTATAGGGAACCGTCATTTACGCTGACGTGCCTTAACCGACTCGGCCACAAAGGAGTATTTAAGTAAATGCTCTGTTTATAATAAACAGTATTAAATAACATTTACCGGCCTGAATGTCCGAGAAATTTTCATAGAAAATATTCGTCCTCCGACGGGAATCGAACATGTATCCTATAAGGAACCGTCATATCGCCTGACATGCTTTACCGATTTCGACACACACACACACATTAATTAATAAAAGAAAATTTGCTGCCCATACATATAGATATAGATATAGATATATAATTTATAATTATCGGAATAAGATTAATCCCCAATGAAAAATTGTTACCTGTAGAACACCATTTCCGCTCAGAAAAACATGATTTTAATAGCCATACAAAATGTACTATTATTGTAAGAATAGAAATAGACAGAAAAGATAAAGTTAGAGAAATGAAGTACATGAAGACAAATGGATTTTGCGCTGCAATTCAATTTGTACAGACGGATTCAACAACACACTAAACAGCACACATAGAACTAATATATAACTCCATACATCACCCCCATCCATTTCTCTCTCACACATTATAAACTCTGTATAGATGTATATATTCTACATTGAAAATGAAAATGACATCATCCATGAAGAGCCTAAGCTGACTCTCCTAACACCGAACGTTATACACACCAGACAGACATACTCGCTGAGTTGATGATGTCTCTCATATGCACACTCTCAGACACACAAATATATATACATACGGACACTACATACACCCCTGCCAAAATAAAAGATAACATACACAAACACACACACACACACATCCGCTTTTCGGCAACTAATAAAGCTGTCAAATTGATTAAAGAGATACATCTGAGACTCATGGGTCTCCTCGATCTCTCCTTAAAAAGCTACTTGAAAAATATCTTTGACTAATCCCAAAACTGACCCAAAAATAACTACAAGAAAAAGAAAATGAAAACTACAGGGTAAGTTCAGCTTCCTCAGCGACTGTTATTCACCCCTGTAGTTCACTGCTACTGACAAGCTTGAATTTTTCTCCTGATGATGTCCAAGTTGTTCGAACCTAGTTGAGGAAACTAATTGAGAAAAGTTTCATTGTTAAGACACACACACACACATACATGCACAGACACACACACACACACACACACACACATATATATATATATATATATATATATATATATATGTGTGTGTGTGTGTGTGTGTGTGTGTGTGTGAGAGAGAGAGAAGGCTAAAATACCAACCAGCCTTGCAGCCCGGGTTTCGCCCGTAAGGTCTCCTCAGGCAAGTGGAAGGATATACAACCCAACTACTCCAATATACCAGACCAACGGAAGTGAGTGGGTAAAAGTATAGAATGGCGGGGTGGGGGTCGAGAGAAAAGAAATAAAATTGTAAGTGAGGAAAAGGGAAAAAAATAATTATTTTATTTCGTTCATCCGGGTTCTAACAAATATTTACTTAAATGCCTGCACCCTGACATTATCTCAGTCCTCTCGTTTAGTAAGACACGTTTATAAGGATATGTGGTAATGGCCAATTTATCTTCCTGGAACATCCAGCAACAATTATCACGAACTCGTTCAGTTTTTACCCTCCTTACCATATTCCCCTTTACACAATGACTCCTGCCATACCTTTCTGTATTTCCAGACACAATCTGGTTTCACGTCTATGGCTCAATGTGTTAACCGTATTCGGAAATTAAAACATCCCTACTACACACTAAGACATTCACATAATGCACACATCCAATTAAGCTGAAAAATCGAATCATCCTTGATAATGGCTAAAGGTATAGCCGAAAACGCTCGGAAATATAAAACATTCGGACAGTTCTTACACACCCTTTGTCTAGAAAAGAAAGCTCTTGTTAGAACACAAGAAAAATTAAATAAAAAGCTTAACCGTAGTACCTTGTCTGTCGTTTTTAATGAAACATATATATATATATATATATATATATATATATATATATAATACAACGATACGTATGTTTTTATATATCAAGAACAATAGTTGGCTTAAAAACTGCATGTCAAAGTGATGCGTTTCGTCATTTAGGTCTTCATGGGACTAAATTTTGGGGTAACAAATTTAATCCGATGAAGAATTATGAATCTTGTCAGGACCTCTAATTTTCCTGGAATAGCCTCACTGTAATTATTTACCCGCTGTCCCAGGCAGCAAGATGTGGCACAAGGCCGAGTTTAATGTGGGTTATCCGAGCCCGTAGTCTCGGGCAAAAATTCCGTATAATCCATGTAAAAACGGAGTCATTTTCTCGAGACGAGACTCTGCCCTTCGTCAGAACCTCGTCTGGGGGATACCCTCTGAAATAAGCCAGGTAAGTATCACTGTATTTTTTTAATATATCCGGTGAAAGGAAACATCTTTATCCCTTTCGGTCTTTGTATATTTAATGAATATATTCTGAGATTTGCTGGGGAAGAGAACGTTTCATCACGATTACATATCTAAAGATAGAAAAATATAAATAGATGTCGAACGTACATCCGAAGTGTCTGTTAAATAAACGCATCGCACACGTGGGATATAGAATTTATAGATAGATAGATAGATAGATAGATAGATAGATAGATGAACGGATTGAAATAGATAGATAGATAGATAGATAGATAGATAGATAGATAGATAGATAGATAAACGGATTGAGATAGATAGGTAGATAGATGAACAGACATAGATAGATAGATAGATAGATAGATAGATAGATGAACAGGCAGACTGAGATAGATAGATAGATAGATAGATAGATAGATAGATAGATAAAAGGATTGAAATAGATAGATAGATAGATAGATAGATGAACAGGCAAACTGAGATAGATAGATAGATAGATAGATAGATAGATAAAAGGATTGAAATAGATAGATAGATAGATAGATAGATAGATAGATAGATAGATAGATGAACAGGCAGACTGAGAGAGATAGATAGATAGATAGATAGATAGATAAAAGGAATGAAATAGATAGATAGATAGATAGATAGATGAATAGGCAGACTGAGATAGATAGATAGATAGATAGATAGATAGATGAACAGGAAGACTGAAATAGATAAATATATAGATAGATGAACAGTAATAATTAGAGAGAAAAGTGAAAACTAGGATAGATATATAGATTTTCCCAGTATATATATATATATATATATATATATATATATATATATATATATATATATTTTATATATATATACTCACACACACACACACACACACACAAACTCACATTAATTTTTTGTCCCACCCGTGAACCTGTAGAACAGCCAGAAACAACAAAAAAAAACTAGATGTGCAGAATGAAGTGAAAGCGACAAGGAAATAATAGCAGAGAGGAAAGAAAAGTAGAGATTAGAAAGAAAAGAAAAAAAAGAAGCTATGTTTGTGGGAAGTGGAAAGGTGCATTTCACATACCGTTCGTTGACACACATGGTATGTCGATGCGATTACGATAGACGGACAGTGAGATTATTTCGACGTCAGAATTGGGGACAAAAATATCAAAATACACAAGTCTCTTCCATTGTCCTGCTTTCTTTTGCGCTCTTTTGTCATGTGGGGACGGAGATTTACTTACACTTTCTTTTTTTTCTTCTTAAGTCGTTAAAAAATGAAAAAAAACCCGTAGGAGCTTGTAGAGAAGGAAAGTGCACAGAAAGAACAATCATTAGTTGTAAGGAGATAGATAATAGATAGATAGATAGATAGATAGATAGATAGATAGATAGATAGAAACCGAGAGAGAGGGGGCAGAATAAGATAGATAGATAGATAGATAGATAGATAGATAGATAGATAGAAAGCGACAGAGGGAGATGGAAAGATTAAGAAAGCTAGATAGAATGATAGATAGAAAGCGATAGAGAGAAAGATGAACAGATGAAGAAAGCTAGATAGACAGATAGATAGATAGATAGATAGATAGATAGATAGATAGATAGATAGATATAAAGCGATAGAGGGAGATGGACAGATTAAGAATGCTCGATAGAATGATAGATAGAATGCGAGAGAGAGAGAGAGAGAGAGAGAGAGAGATGGACAAATTAAGAAAGCTAACTAGCTAGCTAGCTAGCTAGCTAGAGAGATAGATAGATAGATAGAAAGCGAGAGAGAGAGAGATGGACAGATTAAGATAGATAGATAGATAGATAGATAGATAGAAACCGAGAGAGAGGGGGCAGAATAAGATAGATAGATGATAGATAGATAGATAGATAGATAGATAGATAGATAGATAGATAGATATGAACAAATTGGCATAGATGAACATAGAATGATATAAAACGATGGATGATATGAACATATATATATATATATATATATATATATATATATATATATATATAGAGAGAGAGAGAGAGAGAGAGAGAGAGATAGCATAATTTTGTTTGAAACAAACAAAAACGTATTCGGTCCTCATTTTTGGGCTATTTATTCCACTGGGACGGAATTCGACACAACTTCAGGCTTTAATGTGGAAAAACCTACACTAAGGCCAAGATCAAAAGTTGTCCAAGCCTCCGCAACCGTCGATTGCGCAGCCTCGGGCTGATGTTCCCCCGGCCGCGCATCAGAAATTATTATTTTCCTCAACTCCATCATTATCTCTGGACAGACTCACAAGTGTGTCGCTATCTGTTCGAACGCAGAGACGTATCTGAGAGATAATATCACCAACTCTGGAAACCAGTTTGTCGTGAATGCCTGACAATCTTCTCACAGCTGAAGAAGACTTGAGGCAACAGAAATATAGTTCAACATAGGACGGAAAATATAACACCGAAGTCACACTGGAATTGCGAAAAATACCTTCCAAAATCTAAGCAAAGTATCATGAAACAGAATAATTTCGTTAGAAAACGAAGAAAACTGCATTCAACAGTTATGTAATGTCGGCCCACTTATCAGTGACCTGCAAAGGTTTGATGATGTTTAGTAATGGCCCGGGTCAAAACTCCTTGATGATGCCTTCTCGACATGAATGTTCGGGGCCCTTGCACCCACTGTCTTCACGCTAATGCTGCCTATGTAACCATAGCTTGATGGACAATCCTCAAAATTGAAGAAGAGACTTGAATTAACTCAAATGTGGTTCTACAGAAGGATACTGAGAATACTATGGGATAAACTTTTAAGCAACGTTGAATCTTTAATAAAAATTGAAAGTAAAAGAACGCTTACGCACAGAATCAGAAAATGGTTGAAATATCTAAAGATCATAATAAGAAAAGAATGCTTAGAAAATTGAACACAGAGAGCAAATTGCTGTTGATTCGTTTCATGGAATAGATTTTTACGGATTATCAACCCTTTGTAGGTTATTTGAAGCTAGAAAATATTTGCAGATTTTGAGAAATTTTTATTTTAGATGAGAATTGTTTTAGCGATATAGAGTCGTACTAATTAACCCCACCCGCATATCCAAGCTTAGAGCACCTGGTATTCACAAGCCTTCACCCATCTAAGTACTGACTAATCTGGATGTTGCTTAACTTTCAACGTAATTTGGCCAAACAGATAACTGTAAGTTTTATAAGATCAAGGTGACCCTGTTTTAAACGGAGCGAGATCATATAAAACTTTCAGTTATTTGTTTGGATAAGTCTTGTTCTTATGTACATCGTCTTTGTCATGTTGTATTGATAATGTTATAATTTATGAATATGTCCTGAAGATGGTTTATTAGACCAAAACGTCCGACGTTGACATATTAACATTAAACAGCATAATTGTATATAAGATTTTTTTTTTTTTTTTCCGTATATTTTTCTTCATACTGTCGGATCTATATCCATATATTTGCTTATATATATATATATATATATATATATATATATATATATATATATATATATATATATTGCCAAAGACTTGATCTTAATAAAGTTTGTCTTTTGCCTCTCCTCACCCCAGGAGAGGCAAAAAAGACAAACTTTATTAAGATCAACAAAGAAGAGGAAATTTGGGAGACCCGTGATCACGACATAAATAATAATAATAATAATAATAATAATAATAATAATAATGAGAAGAAGTAGTTGTTCTGTTTATTTTCTCTTTTTATCTCCCGTTTCCTTTCTTCAAATTTTTCGACTTTCTTTTTTTTCTTTCTTTCTTTCTTTTCATTCTTTTCTTTCCTTTCCTCATTGCTTGCTACTTTCGTCTCCTCTTTCTTCCAACTCTTACATCACTCTTTCCTCTTTTCTCTATTCTTCCCGAATTAAACTCTTTCTCCTTGTGCATTTCGTCTCTCTTATCCTTTCTCGTCTTCCATCAAATCTTCTACTCAACCGTTTTTCCTTGTTTTTCGCTTCCTTACTCTTCCCAAATCTCCTCTTTCTCCTTTTTCTTTTCCTTTATTCTTCATTTCCTTCCCATCTTTGTTTTCCACCTCTTTCCTTGTTTTACTCTTTCTTGCTTTTCCTTATTTTGCCCATTCTTCTTTCTTTCTTTCTTTTTCTTCTTTCTTTCTTTCTTTCTTTCTTTCTTTCTTTCTTTCTTTCTTCCTTCCTTTCATCATTCATTTCATCGTTCTTTCTCTCCATCATTCACTCGTTCGTTTGTTAGATCGTTCGTTCGTTCGTTCGTTCCTTCCTTCCTTCCATCCATCCATCCTTCCTTACTTCCTTCCTTCTTTCATCGCGTCCTTCCATTCTTCCTCTTCTTCTTTTTAATCTTCCCCCCTTTCTTTCTTCAATTCCTTTCTTTCTTTCTTTCTCTCTTTCTTTCTTTCTTTCTTTCTTTCTTCCATCATTCATTTCATCGTTCTTTCTCTCCATCATTCACTCGTTCGTTCATTCGTTCGCTCTTTCTTTCCTTCCTTTCTTAACCTCTTCATTCTATTCTTGCGGTTTTCCTTCCCATCTTCCCCCTCTTTCTTTTCATTTTTATTATTCTTTCCTTCGTTTCTTCCTTTCTTGTATCATTCATTTCATCGTTCCTTCCTTCGATCATTTTCTCGTTCGTTCTTTCGTTTTTATTGTTACACTTGACATATACATATATATATATATATATATATATATATATATATATATATAGATAGATAGATATAGTTATGTATATATATACACACACGCACGCACACACACACACACACATATATATATATATATATATATATATATATATATACACATACATACATACATACATACATACACACACACACACACATATATATATATATATATATATATATACACATACATACATACATACACACACACACACACACACACACACATATATATATATATATATATATATATATATATATATATACTTGCTGATCTAAAAGATGCTGGTCAGTCAAGCCCTTCCACCACAAGATTGTGATATTTGATAAGTCAGTCTTGGAAATAAGTTGGGAAGAAAAGTTTTCAACATCACTCTCCATTAGTTGATCTTTTTTATATAACGCCGAATACATATTTTACAGCAAAAAAACGAGGAAAGCGTGTAACTGCTGGGTGTGTATCCCGAACACATTTTAAAATATCTTTACTCGAATTAAATACCCAAGCATTTTCCTGTGTTAAGCACCATCGTTGTCCATACGGGAATATAATGGATAATGGTCTTTCTGTTTTTTTTTTTCTTCCCGGTCAATCACGTGCATAAGCAATAGACTATTCACCAAGAATAAAAAAAAAAAAAAAAAAAGAAAACAGATTCAAAATGTACATGTGACCTGTAAAACTGTCAACGTCCTTACTGAAACCAAATGCCAACCCTGTTTGGTTGTGCATGAGTAAGCATATACTCGACTCACCCTATTCAGATTTAGAGGGTGGATTTTGTGGCGCCAGTCCCCAGTGGGATTGACATGCCTAGATAAAATTCAGATTTCGTAATCGGTGCTTTCGAAAATGACCTACTATCAAAAACCTCCAGGATTGCCTTTGGTCATGTGATACCAATCTTTTTGTGTTCGCCTATTCAATGTAAGTGAATGCAATATTTTGGATTATTGTCTTGATTCTAAAGGTTGCTTAATATATTTATTGCTGTTAAGTGTGTACAATCAGCTGAGGGTATCGTTTTCAAACCTTTAGGAAAATTCTGAATCTGGAAAAAAATGGCTTCACTATGAAGTTAGGGAGACGAGTGTTTTAACCGTTGGATTTCTCGTGTTGTTCAAGAACAAAAAATAGAGATTCGAAGTAAATGAAAAAGAAAAAAAAAAAAAGAATCCAATGAAGACAGAGAATGAAAGAAAACGAGAATGAAGAAAATGAAGAGGACAATGGAGAGAAAAGATGAAAGAAAGAAATGGGAAAAAATAGAGGGAATAAAAAGAAGTAGAGATATTGAAAAAGAAAAAGAGCTAGGAGGAAGAAAAAAGAAAATGGAAGAAGAAGAAGAAGAAGAAGAAGAAGAAGAAGAAGAAGAAGAAGAAGAAGAAAACAACATTTTGCAACAATAAAAACAGATATGAAGAAGAAGAAAAAATAGGAAGAGTGAAGGAGAAAGATCAGGGAGGAGAAGAAGAAGAAGAAGAAGAAGAAGAAGAAGAAGAAGAAGAAGAAGAAGAATGAAATAATGAATGAAAGAAGTAGTAATGGATGGATGAAAGAAAGAAGAAGAAGATGTAATGAATGAAAGAAGAAGTAATAGATGGATGAAAGAAGAAGAAGAAGAAGAAATGAATGGAAGAAGAAGAAAAAGAAGAAGAAGAAGGTGTAATGAATGAAAGAAGAAGTAATAGATGGATGAAAGAAGAAGAAGAAGTAATGAATGAAAGAAGAAGTAATAGATGGATGAAAGAAGAAGAAAAAAAGAAGAAGGTAATGAACGAAAGAAGAAGTAATAGATGGATGAAAAAGAAGAAGAAGTAATGAATGAAAAGTAGTAATGGGTGGATGAAAGAAGAAGAAGAAGATGTAATGAATGAAAGAAGAAGTAATAGATGGATGAAAGAAGAAAAAAAGAAGAAGAAGAAGAAGAAAGAAATGAATGGAAGAAGAAGAAGGTGTAATGAATGAAAAAGTAGTAATAGATGGATGAAAGAAAAGAAGTAATGAATGAAAGAAGTAATAGATGGATGAAAAAGAAGAAAAAAAGAAGAAGGTGTAATGAATGAAAGAAGAAGTAATAGATGGATGAAAGAAGAAGAAGATGTAATGAATGAAAAGTAGTAATGGGTGGATGAAAGAAGAAGAAGAAGATGTAATGAATGAAAGAAGAAGTAATAGATGGATGAAAGAAGAAAAAAAAGAAGAAGAAGAAGAAATGAATGAAAAGAAGAAGAAGAAGAA